CATCGCCTCTGACTAGGGTACAAGTACACCTGGCAGACGGTCGAAAATGTCGTCAGGGAATGCACCTACTGTCAGGAGCCAGCGGCCAACCCACTGGAACACTATCTCCTCGAATGCGAAGTCACACAAAGTCTCCGAAACAGAATTTGAAACTTCCAAGAAGAACAAACATCACCAGTGGCCCACTCTAACCCGAAAGACCCAAATAAACCACATTCACCACCAAGATAGCTTAGAAGTATCCTCCCCCACCAAGTGCGGACCCCAGTTCGGGTGGCGCGCCACTCCTAAACTGACTACGTCCAAGAGTGGGGGTTGGTGGTAAGCGCTCACTGACCGAGAGTCCGCTCAAACTTGCATACCTGCAGTATCTTTTCATATCTGCAGGTAGGACAACCTCCATCCCCAAATCCCAATTCCGGTCTGGCTGCTCCAACAACAACACACAACCGTGAAGGTCATTCTACTCAACTCTCTCAAATAGACAAGACCTCCTCTCAACAAGCTCCTCACCACACAGTAACTCCCGAGCACTGCATTGTACATATTATATATATATATATATATATATATATATATATATATATATATATATATATATATATATATATATATATATATATATATATATATATATATATATATATATATATATATACAGTATAGAAAACTCCATTGTGAGTTTCCTTTCCCACCTCCACCCTTAGTGCCAGATCTCCTACATGTACGTATGTATGTGAGCCTAACAAAGAGAAAATAGACAAACACAAAGAGAAATTTGAAAACTGTCCACATACACTACGCTACAATTGGTGACCCCGGAGTGACGCATTCGCACAAGGATGGGTAAGAAACGGATCTCTCCTCCAGTCTTCAACCACAACATCGAGAACAGGATAATTCATGTGGAGGCAGCTCTCACCGGCTCAACAGCTAAAGACGAGCAAAAGTACGTCGCCCTGGTCTGTTCCTTGCCCACAGAAGTCGCCACGCAAGTCTCAGAAGTCATCACCAACCCTCCAGCTGACAACAAATTTGCAGCTCTACAAGATGCTCTGAAGAGGCGATACCAGCGGCCTGGCGCCAGTCTCCTGCAAGACCTATCAAGTCTACCCCTCGGGCACTCAAAGCCTGCACGTCTCTGGGACGAGATGCGTAGACTGAACTCCCACTACACAGACAGGCTTCCTGACACTGTCCTGCGCCAGCTTCATGCCCAGAAGCTCCCCGCAGAAGTTCGCCTCGCGATGTCCGCACTGGACTACTCTACAATTCCGGCGACCTACGCAGCCACGGCAGACAGAGTATTCGATGAATGCACTGCTGTGTGCCATGCTGCCGCGGACAACTCAGCGGCCACACCGTCACATTCCTCTGATCTTGTCAACCGGATCAACGCTCCTCAGACGAGCAACACCTCAAAAGACACTGCTTCAGTCTCTACACCGCAGGATGGACACCTCGAGCAGCTCTACTCCTGCATGCCCGATGATGCTCCTGTTCCTGCCCCACGCACTGCGTCCTACCAACCCCGATGTCTTCGTCCTGCCTCGGACACCGCAAAGGGAGAAGGAGGGTTGTAGATAAGAGAAGGTTGAACGGCGGGAGGAACAGTCGAGGAATGTAGTGCTTCTCTCGCGGCAGGTGCAAAGTCCATGGGGGCGCCGGGTGGGGTGTCTGTGTCCATAGGGCCGGATGCAGGATCCTCATCAGGAGTAGGGTCAGGAGCAGTAAGTATCGAGGGAGAAAAAAGGGTGCTGCAGTCGGCAATGGTGACCAGACAGATTAAGGGAGTGAAGGCGTGGTTTGCTGGGGGGAATGTGGTGTTTTTTTAGCGGCAGGTGCACAGTCCTAAGGGGCGCTGGGTGGGCTGTCTGGGTCCACCGGGCTAGGTGCATTGTCCCCATCAGGAGCAGTAGGTACCTGAGAATGAAAGGAGGGCACATAGAACTGTTGTGGACAAGGTGGTGCTGCAAGTTGCAACTGTAGGCAGACTGGTGCAGGCTTGTTTTGTTGGGGGTAATGCTGGGCTGGGGCCCCATCGGGTAAGGTGGCCGGCTTCACTCGATCGATGCTAACGATGTCGTCCCTGCCATTGCGATTGATCGTCAGGTACTTCCCTGACCGTGCAAAAACCGGGAAGAGTCTGTCGTAGGGGATTTGAAGTGGGTTGAAGTGAGCATCGCGCCAGACGAAGACATACTCGGCGTTGAGTAGTGCAAGGGAATCTGTTCAGGGCGATTGGAAGGCTGGCGTGGGGCAGTAGCTTTGAATGCAGAAACTGCTTGTCGTAGTGTGTGCAGTAGGTCGTGACGGGCAGCAGGAGTGAAGTGGTGAAGGTCAGGAGTAAGTGAGAAATCCCCGGGTGGGCAAAGGGGCTCGCCTAGGGTGAGATCTGCTGGGCTACAGTCCATGTCCTCTTTGTGTGATGCGTGGATGCCAAGAAACACTAAGGGTAGAGCATCCGTCCAGCTGTAGGGGTTGTGCTGTGCCTTAATGACGTCCTTCAGCTGCTGATGAAACCGCTCTACCATGCCTTGGAACACCATACTGGTTCGCATTGACTCGCACTTGTAAGTACAGCCAAAGTGATGATACACCCCTCAGTACTGATATATTGTGGACTAATTATGCCTACTCGTTTCTGCCTTATCTGGAGAAATAAGACAATGCGGAATGAAATGTAACTAAGATTAATAGAGTTATGAACTTTGTATCATGTCACTATGCTTAATAATCATTTGTAATTAAGATGAAATCGTCTGAGACTAACTAATTATGTATCAGATAGATCACCAGGTACAGTAATACTAATGAACGCCTTGTTCTCTGCAGGTTTTGACCACATCAATAAATATTGAATGCGTCAAAAGGCGAGTTTCAATCATTCCCTTCGATTTGCCCGTCACCTGAACGTCCTTAACCAAGGCGCTTACAATAATAATACCACTATCAGCCCACTTATAATACTTTTTTTGTTCCACTTAAGAATAATGCCTTTCCTCTCACATTGCCTTATCGAAAGGCTGTCATTAAACTATCCTAGAGATTAGATTACTGTTAAAATAATAAACAAAAAACATGAACATGCCTGAATGCATTGCATATATCATCTGTTACTAACAAGCCATGTAAAGGCAGTGAACAGATGCTAGAAGGTAGGGTGAGCAATAGCATGGACGTAAACACTTCCTCTTGAGGTGCCTATCTTACCACTCATCCACCCGTCCTTCGCAATTCCCTGGCCACGAGAGGAGAGAATGGGAGTGGTGGGAGTGAGAGCAGGAGGGAGAGGTTGGGGAAGAGTTTTAGTTAACAAATTTATTGACAAAGCTTGGAGGACAGTTTGCCTATTCTGAGTAATTCAGTCAGGTCTTGACACTGAGGGTGGTATCACTTCTCACTGCCACGCAGGACAGAGGTTCATACACAAAGACATACACCATATTCATTAATAGTATATATATATATATATATATATATATATATATATATATATATATATATATATATATATATATATATAACAAAAAAGTATGTCTGTGTGTTTGTGTGTGTGTTTGTGTGTGTGTGTGTGTGTCCGCACGAGAATCTCGGAAACTACTTTACCGATCTGTAGTGATGATGGATGGTGTTATATGTAGTGATGATGGATGGTGTTATATGTAGTGATGATGGATGGTGTTATATGTAGTGATGATGGATGATGTTATATGTACTGATGATGGATGGTGTTATATGTAGTGACGATGGATGGTGTTATATGTAGTGATGATAAGACAATAAAATAATAACAGTTTAATGCTAAAAAAATATACTTTGCTGTACAGTTGTAGTGAAAAACATGGTGGAACTTACATACACCGTCATTGAACTACTGATGGAAGAAGAAGTTTTGGGGACTGAACAGTGAGACAATGTGGAGCCTCCCGGAGGGTGGCGTCCTACCGTTGCATAGCGGATGAGCCGCCCAGAGGGCGGCGATTCTATATATATATATATATATATATATATATATATATATATATATATATATATATATATATATCAGATTCGGGTGATGTCACTGATCACTGCCATGCAGGACAGAGGTTCGTACACAAAGAAGTACATCATATTCATTGACAGTATATAAAGGTCAGATTCATGTGGGTAATGTCACTGTTCGCTGCCATGCAAGACAGTGGTTCATATACATTGGACGTCATATTCTAATTGAAGACTAATTAGTGTGGGCTAGCAAATTTGGGATAATCAGCAAGAATGTCCCCAAGCACCCCCGATTCAATGTAGTAATTACAAAGTTCATGATACTGTACAATAAGTAAGGTGGTCTGAAGTCTTTGACAGTGTCACATTCAATAATATATTGTTCAAGTGTATACTTTAAAGGTTTATCACAAAGTTTACATGCTGAGTGTTCCGGTATGGGTACAGCGTTACTAACTTGCCAGATGTGTCTGTATCCTAGCCTAATTCTGGGGAGATGGTCGAGACGTGGAGAAGGAAGAAGAAGTTTGTGCGTAGAGAGAGGGGAAATAAACTCGGGTGGCAAGGAAAGAGGGAAAAAGGGTTTGGGTAACAAGGGAAGCTGAGGAGAGAGAGGAGGTTGGTAATATGTTACGAGGGCCGCAAGAGGAGAGTGGTAATGAGAGACGGCTGTGGCATTGGGAGCCATGAGGAACTGAAAACAAAGGAAGGAATGAAGGGAGTACATTAAAGATGGGGGGAGAGAGGATTAAGGGACGTTATGTGTTGAAAGGAAGCTGTAAAAAAATATGGGAATGTTAAATAAGAAGTTGGGTGTGGATAGTGAAGGAAGGAAGGCGAAAATTAAACACTAGGCGTGATTAAAACACAAGGAAGAGAGGTGAGGGACTGAGTGTCATGGGAAAGTATTAGACGAAATCATGTACGAGGACAGGGGTCGGGAGGGTGGCGTGTGGCAAGAGTGGTCACGTGGTCCTCCAGCAAGGGTCGGGCAGGCATAAAAGCCGCGCGGCCACTGCGTGGGACCTGAGTGAGCAACTTCAGCAGCAGTGGACCGGTTGACGACGCCGCCTCACCCCCCCTGCATTCCCTCATATCCGCCATCAGGAACCACTCTAGGTCACTATTTCCACCCCAATAACTGCTGCTAGTCACCACCCCAGATAAACCACTCCAGTCCACCTTTGTTAATTGAAACTAGTATATATATACAAATCCCTATCACCAGAATCAACTGCAACTTGCTAACAACGTCAAAAGATTCTACTGCAGGCCTCCATCACAAATAACAGGAACCACTGCAGGTCTTTACCATCACCACTGCTAAGTCAACCCACAAGTAGGTTGTTTGTCTGTTCACCCTTAAGCCGCCAGCCAGCCTAACACAATATAAACAAACATTTTTAGAGCTTACGCAGGGTCCTAACTTTACTAACATTCTGTCCAAATTTTCCTTTCGTGGTGGGCTATGAACACAGTTCATTTTAAGCTCTTGTTAATGTGTATAATAAGTTAAATTCATAGGATTGTCATTATCCAGATGAATTCTTTCAACACGTGTACATTCAGAAAACAAAAATTTAATAGTAGGAAAATAATTGTTCAAGGGAATCGACTATAAAGAGTGCTAGCTAGCTAACTGAATCTGTACAGTAGTACAAGGTGTCACGCAAATACTGTAACTGTTATCCTCGTTCACAATAGGAAAATTCAACTTCCATCCTCCGAAAGTTTGAACAGACCAAAGATTCAATTTGTATATACAGACATTATCAGGACACCTTTCTTCTGGCCTTTTCCTTATTTAACGTTATTGTGCACTGTGTGCTGTCGTCAGCATCCTTTAATACTTAATCAGAGTTTATAATGAGAATTATTTTTAGTAGTGATCAAGGAATACCAGTAAATGGTATTTTCACATATTTGATATGTAGTTTATACTGTTGTTATTGAAGATGAAGGGGCATTACTGAAACTTGTCAGTAAATTATCGGAATAAGTAGAATATGAGCTTAGATTTAATACTGTGAAGACGGAGGTAATGGTTGTTTCTTAACTAAATAGGGATTCTAAAAATAACAATTATGGTAGACAACAGGGAATTTGTGGAGGTTGAAATTTTTTTGTAATTGAGAAGTTGTGATGGCACTGTAGATGTGAATGAAAATTATTAACAAGAAACGGGCGGGCAAAAACAGCATTTAATAACCTTAGAAGTTCAGTTAAAATGAACTGCAACTTCAGTTTGAGAAAAAAATTGGATGCAATTTATAATTATTACTCATGTGTGTATCGGAAAAGTAAGCACGTTCAACAAACACACACACACACACACACAACACACAACACACACACACACACACACTTCGAAGTAATATTTTAATGTATCTTGTTTCTGTGTATTTCATGTATTTGTTTCTCAGTTCGTTCTTCACTTTCTCCTCCCCCTTCTCTCATTATGTATTTCTATTTTCCTATTCCCTTTCCTTTCTTTCTCTTTTTCCATTGTCTCTGTTCACATTTCTCATCTGATTATGCCATTTGTCATCTGTCTGGTTATCTTTCCTCTACTCACATTACTGAATGGCTTAGATTCTTAGAAGGTTCTCTCCGTTGTATCATCTTAGTACCGATTATGATCATCTCACTATAACAGATTCAGAATAAAGACATAACTCACAAAATACTCGTGTTATCTAATTTTATTATTATCGTATTTTCTACAACTGTACACTATTTTACGTTTTTGATAATCTTTGGCAAGTGGCGACGAGGTACAGCGGCCGAGTAAATACAGCACTTGTTTATTATTTTATGGGTTGTTGGTTCATGTCAAAGGCACCCCTAGTCCACTCAACTGTAGAGAAGTCATGTACTTAAATTTACATTTGTTGAAAAAAGGTGGTCGAGTGCAGTACCGGCACTCTGTTTCCTTATATAAACACTAATAAGTAATCTTCAGGAAGGTCTACTTGCCAAATTGCTAACACTGTCTTGTCTTTATTGCGTCACTTCCTCTTTATTTATATCAAGTGAAGCATTGAGCCAGGGTTCAGACTGTTCGGATCTTCAAAGTGGAAGCGTTAACGTTTTGTCCTATTGGCGTGGAACAAGCATTTATACTGTCACACATCAAGCAGTGACGTATACACTTATTTGAGAATCTTTTTTTTTATAATTGAGGAGATATTATATCTCCATGGATTCAACATATTTTCATACCTAATCGGAAATTATACTTTAGATCTTAAGATATACTCAAGCAAATATCATATTATGACTTCTAAGAGTTAAATACCTACTGTATGTCAGGGATATTGTTTTGTCTGCAAATTATAGTTGCATGAAATATGAGAATTAAAACAAAAAGATGAACTGTATGCATGACTAATACGTACCTGTAACAATTTAATTCAGGCAATGATAGTTTAAAAATAATAAACAGTCAATTATATGAAGGTTAGGGTTCGTTTGTATCTTCAAGTGAAAACTGAACCTATCGTAAGAAGAATGTGTCAGTTAAATTCACGTTTTTAATATCACTTAATAAAAAATTCGAAATTACAAAAGTAGAAGAAAAGTAAGAAACTGAATTCGAGGCAAGAGGAAGTCTCTTTAAAAGAAAGACAAATATATATTATAGTCAAAGAATGGGGAAAAGGTCCTGGGAGTTAGAGCAGTCACCGGTGTGTATATCTGTCTAAACTCAATGGGTTCCTTCCTGATGACATACCATAAGCTCCCTGCGATGCAAATTCTCATGCATCGTTTTAACTTCTAATTTACTTTGTTTTATCCACTTTGCTTCATAAATGTTGTATGATTCGTCCACTTTGTTTTGTAAATGTTACATGTTTCGTCCATTTTGTTTCATAAACTGTGTATGTTTTCGTTCTCTTTGTTTCATGAACGTTGTATGTTTCGTCCACTTTGTTTCATAAACGCTGCATGTTTCGTCCACTTTGTTTCATAAACGCTGTAATTTTCCTCCACTTTGTTTCATAAACGCTGTATGTTTCGTCCACTTTGTTTCATAAACGGTGTCTGTTTCGTCCACTTTGTTTCATAAACGCTGCATGTTTCGTCCACTTTGTTTCATAAACGCTGTAATTTTCCTCCACTTTGTTTCGTAAACGGTGTCTGTTTCGTCCACTTTGTTTCATAAGCGCTGTATGTTTCGTCCACTTTGTTTCGTAAACGGTGTCTGTTTCGTCCACTTTGTTTCATAAGCGCTGTATGTTTCGTCCACTTTGTTTCATAAACGTTGTATGTTTCGCCCACTTTGTTTCATAAGCGTTGTATGTTTCGTCCACTTTGTTTAGTAAACGGTGTCTGTTTCGTCCACTTTGTTTCATAAACGTTGTATGTTTCGTCCACTTTGTTTCATAAACGTTGTATGTTTCGTCCACTTTGTTTCATAAACGCTGTAATTTTCCTCCACTTTGTTTCGTAAACGGTGTCTGTTTCGTCCACTTTGTTTCATAAGCGCTGTATGTTTCGTCCACTTTGTTTCGTAAACGGTGTCTGTTTCGTCCACTTTGTTTCATAAGCGCTGTATGTTTCGTCCACTTTGTTTCATAAACGCTGTAATTTTTCCTCCACTTTGTTTCGTAAACGGTGTCTGTTTCGTCCACTTTGTTTCATAAGCGCTGTATGTTTCGTCCACTTTGTTTCGTAAACGGTGTCTGTTTCGTCCACTTTTGTTTCATAAGCGCTGTATGTTTCGTCCACTTTGTTTCATAAACGTTGTATGTTTCGTCCACTTTGTTTACAAGCGTTGTATGTTTCGTCCACTTTGTTTAGTAAACGGTGTCTGTTTCGTCCACTTTGTTTCATAAACGTTGTATGTTTCGTCCACTTTGTTTCATAAACGTTGTATGTTTCGTCCACTTTGTTTCATAAGCGTTGTATGTTTCGTCCACTTTGTTTAGTAAACGGTGTATGTTTCGTCCACTTTGTTTCATAAACGTTGTATGTTTCGTCCACTTTGTTTCATAAACGATGTATGTTTCGTCCACTTTGTTTCATAAACGTTGTATGTTTCGTCCACTTTGTTTCGTAAGCGTTGTATGTTTCGTTCACTTTGTTTCGTAAGCGTTGTATGTTTCGTTCACTTTGTTTCGTAAGCGTTGTATGTTTCGTTCACTTTGTTTCGTAAGCGTTGTATGTTTCGTTCACTTTGTTTCGTAAGCGTTGTATGTTTCGTCCACTTTGTTTCATAAACGCTGTAATTTTCCTCCACTTTGTTTCATAAACGCTGTATGTTTCGTCCACTTTGTTTCATAAACGGTGTATGTTTCGTCCACTTTGTTTCATAAACGTTGTATGTTTCGTCCACTTTGTTTCATAAACGCTGTATGTTTCGTCCACTTTGTTTCATAAACGGTGTCTGTTTCGTCCACTTTGTTTCATAAGCGCTGTATGTTTCGTCCACTTTGTTTCATAAACGTTGTATGTTTCGTCCACTTTGTTTCATAAGCGTTGTATGTTTCGTCCACTTTGTTTCATAAACGTTGTATGTTTCGTCCACTTTGTTTCGGAAGCGTTGTATGTTTCGTCCACTTTGTTTAGTAAACGGTGTCTGTTTCGTCCACTTTGTTTCATAAACGTTGTATGTTTCGTCCACTTTGTTTCATAAACGGTATGTTTCGTCCACTTTGTTTCTAAACGTTGTATGTTTCGTCCACTTTGTTTCGTAAGCGTTGTATGTTTCGTTCACTTTGTTTCGTGTTGTATGTTTCGTTCACTTTGTTTCGTAAGCGTTGTATGTTTCGTTCACTTTGTTTCGTAAGCGTTGTATGTTTCGTTCACTTTGTTTCGTAAGCGTTGTATGTTTCGTCCACTTTGTTTCGTAAGCGTTGTATGTTTCGTCCACTTTGTTTCGTAAGCGTTGTATGTTTCGTCCACTTTGTTTCATAAACGTTGTATGTTTCGTCCACTTTGTTTCGTAAGCGTTGTATGTTTCGTCCACTTTGTTTCATAAACGTTGTATGTTTCGTCCACTTTGTTTCGTAAGCGTTGTATGTTTCGTCCACTTTGTTTCGTAAGCGTTGTATGTTTCGTTCACTTTGTTTCGTAAGCGTTGTATGTTTCGTTCACTTTGTTTCGTGTTGTATGTTTCGTCCACTTTGTTTCATAAACGTATGTTTCGTCCACTTGTTTCTGTGCGTTGTATGTTTCGTTCACTTTGTTTCGTGCGTTGTATGTTTCGTTCACTTTGTTTCGTAAGCGTTGTATGTTTCGTCCACTTTGTTTCATAAACGTTGTATGTTTCGTTCATTGTTTCGTATATGTTTCGTTCACTTTGTTTCGTAAGCGTTGTATGTTTCGTTCACTTTG